GGCTGGGGAGGACAGGAGCAGAGGAAGGAACCAGGGAGCACTCACCTGGTCCTCATCCTCCTCACCTGTGGCCACTACTGAGCATTTGTCATGACTCCAGCACTTGTTGCAGTTTCGAAGAAGGTAAAGAACTCACCCCCAGCAGGTCACATAGCTGCTAAGTGACAGAGACAGAATTCAACCCCACTCGCTCCAGATCTCACTCGGGTAACTGTTGCCAGCTTCCCTCCAGATCCTGCAATTCCTTCTGGAAGAGCAGCCTTCTATTCCAGCAGAGGAGAGATGGAGCCTTAACTCACATTCACGTTATAGGGAAAGAGACTAGGGTTACCCGTGCTCAGCACAGTGCCCAGCAGCTAACAAGGATCTTCACACTTACTCCCCAGCTGTCTGGTAGGGCGGCTGCTGTCCTCTAACCAGCCAAGGAACCAGAAGCTGGAGAGTTAGTGACTTGCTCAAGGCCTCCCAGCTGGAAAGGGGCAAGGGCAGGATTCCATCCCAGGTTTGTCCACCCCAGAGCTGTGCTCCTAGCACCAGGCTGCCCCTCCTCCCCGTGGTAGGTGCTCAGCAGAGGTGGCATTGGAGACCTTGTGGCTATTGAACACATGCAGATGGCACCTACACACACTGCTGGTTCTGAAGGACAGCAGCAGAGGAGCAATCTTAGGCTGCATCCAGGTCGAGGGCATGTGGGGATGGCTTCTCCCCCATTCTTTCTCTCTGAGGACTGGAGAAAAAGAAGACCGTTTACTTCAGAAGGTGATGTGTTCCATGGCCCTGCTCCTGCCATGCTCTATGACCTTGGACAGCCCCTGTCCTTAGGAGCCTTATCTATAAAAGGAGTGGGCTGGATTCAGATATTTCTGCAGTCCTTTCCAGTTCTAAAAGGCTCTAATTCTAAAGTGTGCACTATGGTAAAGCAGGTCTGGCTCAGTGGACTTATTTGAGAAGCGACCACCCAGAGATAGAAGTTGATTTGAGGAGTTCCAGCCTGCCTTCTGCATGGCTACTGATGCCAGACATAAGTGCTTACCACCTCAGCACCAGTGGCCTCCTGCAGGCCGAGGATATCAGGGAGTAGGGGCCCTGAGGTAGCATCCCTGAGACTCCCTAGAGCTGTGTGTGCCTGTCCACAGGAGTCATGCCCAAGCACGGGCTGGACGTGTCTGCCTGCGAGGTGTTCCGCTTCTACAAGCTGGTCACTCTCAAGGGCCTGATCGAGCCCATCTCCATGATCGTACCCCGCAGGGTGAGTGGGGCGGGCTGGGCAGGGCTCCTGCCTTAAACCTGGCCTGCTCATCTCTGACCATGAGCCTGGCAGAGCCCAGAGGAGGAAAGTGTTGTGGACATGGGTCTTCAGACCCAATGTGGGGTGGGGGTGGGGATCCTCTTCAGGGGAGTGCAGTTTGACTTGTTCATAAATGCAGTGGGTGGGGGAGGTGCAGGTGGAAGACACAGTGTGTGCCAAGGATTGGAGGTGGGAAAGCAGGTCTCAAGGGGGTCAGACTAGAGAGCAAGGGGCCTTCCCAGCATCCCCTCTGTCCCCTGTCTGCTCCCCCATTGCAGTCGGATTCATACCAGGAAGACATTTACCCCATGACACCAGGCACGGAGCCAGCCCTGACCCCGGATGAATGGCTGGGAGGCATCAACCGAGGTACCATAGGGGATGGACTCGTGGAGGAGGCCGAGAGGCTACGGCTGTGGCCATCAGCCTATCTGGCCTTAGTCCACTTCATGTGCTCTTGCTTGAACTTCCTCTCACACCCGGCCAGCCGTCCAGCAGGATGCTGGCAAATGTACCATCACCTGACAGGCCGTGCTCTCAGCAGTGTGAACATTCCCCTTGCCTTTCTTAGATCCTGTGCTGATGTCTTTGAAAGAAGGCTATAAGAAGTCCTCGAGAATGGTATTTAAGGCTCCCATCAAGGAAAAGAAGAGTGTTGTGGTCAATGGCATAGATTTATTAGAAAATGTCCCACCCAGGACAGAGAACGAGGTAAGGAATATAAGTTATTACTTCCATGGCCCCTAGAAGAGTAAGACCTTTACATTTCAATTACAGGCTTCAGGCCTTTAAGCCAGCTCCACTCTGAGGCCTTTTTCTTCTGGTGACAAATACCATAAGCAGCCTTCTATTGGCCTCCCTCACCTCTGACCCTGATAAATAGAGACTAGGATGCTGTTGGAGACACTGGCCCCCGCCCCACTCCCCAAGTCTCAAATTCAACACCCCACAGAGATGTGCGTCTCCTCGTGAATCCAGTTCAGAATGTGGCTGTCCTTTGTTGTTAAGGGAGTCATACATTCCTGACCAACAGGGGAAGCCTGGCCGCCCACATCACAGCCCTGCCTTCCTCCTGGCATTGAGGCAATGATAGGGCCTAACCCTCCTGTCTTTGGGGAAGAAGCTGGGTGTCCATGAAAGTGCTCTTTGTACCATCTTGAATAGGAGCCAGCTCTTTCAGGGCCTTGTCCATGCCCCTGGGCATCTCCTTCCAGCACACACGCCTAGTCCCTGGTGCCAACACAGTTCAGCTTGGCTAGGACTCACAGGTGCCTGCCATGTGCCAGGCACAAGGCCTGAAGCAGCTGAAACAGAGATGGCTGCATGGTTCCCCACCCTGCACTTGAATTCCAGCTCTGCCATTTCCTAGCTGTGATAGAGCAAGTTTCCTGACCTAAGTCCAATTTTTTAGGTAAAATGGAGATATGAAGTACTGTGAGTATTAAGAGAGAATCCATAAGTGTCTAGCACCCTTCCTGACTAATATTGAGTGCTCAGAGAAAGAAGCCAATTTCTTAGCTATCTGCTACTGTGTAGTAAACTGAAACCCATAAACAGTTATCATTTCACAAGGTTTTTTTGGGGGGTGTGCCTGTGGCTTAAGGTCTCTCATGAAGGTAGTTATACTGTCTTCTGGGGCTGCAGTCTGAAGGCTCAATTAAGTAAGGATCTGCTTCCAAGTTCACTCACGTGGGTGCTGACAAGACTCATGTCCTCAAAGCCAGCTGGATCGAAGGCCTCAGTTTCTCAAGAGCTGATGGCCACAAGGTTCCCTCAGGACCCTGCTCTCCACAGGGTGGCTCACAGCATGGCCCTTGGTTTCCCTCAGAGTGCTAAGCTGGAGAGCAAGAGAGGGTATTCAAGATGGAAGCCACAGTCTTGTAACCTAATCTTGGAAATGATGTCCCACCACTTCTGCCATATTCTATAAGTTTGAAGCAAGCTGAGATGCGGCCTATCCCACCAACTTATCTTAAAGAGGCGATGGACAGATAATCTGATAATCACTATTTGAAATGATGTGATAAATGGGATTTGCTTTGAAATAGTCCCTGAGGGGGGTGGTGTAGGAGAAGTGGTAGGAATAGAGATGAAGCAAGAATGGCCACATATTAGTTGAAGCAGGTGATGGATACTTGGGGGTTCATATATACATATATATAACATTTTACTTTTCTTTTTAATCTGTCCATTTTTTAAAAAGCATTCTTTCTTAAAGATGGAGATTATGTGAGTTGCTGTGATAGCCCAGATGAGCAGTAACAAGGACCTGAGCCTGAGGAACAAGGTTCTGGCACAGGGTATGGGAAAGGCAGCATTGATACTAGTCACGTCAAGTAACATTTAGCTAGAGGCTTGCCTGTATGAATCAAAACTAAGAACTCTAAGGAAAGTCATAGAGCAGACAAAACAGATGCCACCGTCTCTCTACACTAACGTTGTACGTCTTCCTCGTGGGGAAGAGGCTTCCTCAGAGCCTGCTGACTCTGGTTTTGCATGTAGTTTTAATCATCACAGCAGACCAGAAGCAACCTATTAGAAAGCAGGGCTGTAGAAGGCAGGCAAATTGATCTAAGTGTGAGTTGACAGCTGATGGCTTGATGCAGGTGGAGAGACTTATGGTTGTACAACTCACTAACTGTACTAAAGTTCATTGAACGCTACACTGAGACTGAGCAAATTTTATGGCATGTGAATTACACTTCATTAAAGCTGGTTTGTTTTTTTTTTTACCAAAGTGGACCAAAAACTATGCAAAAATATTTTGAGAACTTGGAAGACACAAGGGTATGTGGAATCATTTAGTCTAAGGGCACATAATCTATTATCCCTCTGAACAGACATAACCAGGACTGGTGGTTTGTTGGTTAGCAAAACTTTATTTTAAAGTCTGATAATGGAGGGAATCATAAAAATGATACATTTTTTAATCCACTTATTTTCACTTAAAACATAAAACATAGGCCAGGCACGGCAGCTCACGCCTATAATCCTAGCATTCTGGGAGGCCAAGGTGGGGGGATCACCTGAGCTCAGGAGTTCCAGACCAGCCTAAGCAAGAGTGAGACCCAGTCTCTACTAAAAATAGAAAAACTAGCCCGGTGTTGTGGCAGGTGCCTGTAGTCCCAGCTACTTGTGAGGCTGAGGCAGGAGGATCACTTGCTATGAACTATGATACCCTGGCTCTCTACCCAGGGCAACAGAGTGGGACTCTGTCTCAAAAAACAACAAAAAAAAATGCTATACATTCATTCAGCATATTCTGATTCAAGGATTAAGACTTGTTCTTTGAGGAGCCCTCCCCCAGTTGGAATCTGCCACGTCTTTCTCACAGAAATTGTGCCTTAACACCAATGTCCAGTTTCAGTTTCTTTTAGGTGGAACAAGAACTTCAAGTCAATCTGTTAGCAAAGCCCTGGTTTTACGATGTTTTCTCTCATTCTTTTTAGAGACAAATGAATTGAGGTATAATTTATCTATGGTAAAGTTTATCCTTTGTGGTATACAGTTCTAAAAGTTTTGCAAAGACAGTGTCTTGCCGTCACTATCAGACAATCAAGATACGGAATATTCCCCAGTCATTTATGCTGTATCATCCATTCAGGCACAATTTTTTTTAGCATCACCTTCATCAAGATACCCTAAAGCATTTAAGTTTTTAAAGAAACAGCAACTCTCTTTTTGTGCTCACCTCATCAGTTTACATCGTATTTAATTAAATTATGCAATCACAATGACAAATGTAAGTCACCCCGGAAAGTTTGAGAGCAAATTCAACTAATTGTGGGTAACATATAAGTCAAGTCTACAGGGTTGGTGAGTAAGCTGCTGCTTCCCAGGGCTTTGGTATTTGGTATCAGTATATTTTACAGAAGAAATAGAGGCTGGTTAATCCAGGGAGCCGATAGAGTGAAGGTTTGCCAAGATGCCTGGGCTTTGCCCATGCTCACCTCAATAAATGAACCCCTGCCCAAGGCAACCGTTGGTATTCCCATCATAGTTTTCATATCAGCAAGATAAAGGGTAGATTTCATCCTGTGTCCTGAGCCTTCTGGAGAAGAACATACAAAACATTTCGCAAAGATTTCCATCTAGAACGGTAAAGAAAAGCATTAGGTTAGGATCCCAAAAGGAGTAAGGTCAGGATGTTTGGAAAACTGTGTTTGGTCATGCCTTCCTCCATGATCCTGAATCAGCAGATAAAGCAAGTTTTCTTTGTTCCCTCCCTCCCAGGGGAAAGTGAGAGCCTTGGGCTAGGCCCGGATGGGGATGGGGAGGGCACAGGGCGGGGTGTCTGGAGGCTCACTCAGGAGATTCTCTGCTCACCGGCTCTCTCCCTGGCCCTCCGTGGCCCCCTCTCTCCTCCACCCCAGCTCCTACGAATGTTCTTCAGGCAGCAGGATGAGATCCGAAGGTTGAAGGAGGAGCTGGCCCAGAAGGACATCCGCATTCGGCAGCTCCAGCTGGAACTGAAAAACTTGCGCAACAGCCCCAAGAACTGTTAGCTCCCCAGTTGGGCTGTTTTCAAAGCCGATCTCTCCGTCGTTTCTACTCGTCCCTTAACTTCCCCTTATCCAGTGACCCCAGAGACAGAACCAGGACTGGAGCTGGGGAGGCCAGCCTGAGGACCCCACCTACCACCTCAAGAACTGGAAGCCAACCTTTGACCTCCTGACCTCATGCTAATAATCCCCAGCCCCTCCTGGAGACCCCCTGCTGGGTGGTCTTCTCCCCCCCACCACCACCACCCCAGGAGCCTGCCTTCCCCTCAGCTGGGTGAAGACCACAGACTCCCTGAGGAGGTGCCCTTAATGGACCAGGGAGCAGGGAGGGAAGTGGGATCCCAGTTAAACTTGGAACTTGAACTTTTCCCCTATGCAGGGGACTGGGAGGATGAGGACTTATCATCACTTTCTGCTGGAGCTCTCAGCATCCTTGATGGAACCACAGAGTAAGGGCTGGGTCACAGGCTCAAGCGCTCCCTCCCTGCCTCCCATCTTGACCCACCTGACAAAGGCAGCCAGCAGCCCAGCCTCATCTGTCTCCTCCTCTCCCTACCGTGTCTTCAGGGAATTAATAGGATTGCTCTCCAAGGCCATACTGACCCCTTTGCCTTCCCCATGACTCTCTTCAAAGCTCTTGCATACCCTTTTCCCATTTAATTTATGAGCCAAGCAGGGTTGGGATTAGTGTCCCCATTTGACAAATGACAGAACTAAGGGTTGCAATGGGGAAGCGACTTACTAAGTCACCCAGAAGGTCAATGGTGGACCCAGAGCCAGAATCCTGGGTGTCCAGACCCCAAAGCCAGGGCCTTTCCCACTGCATCAAGATGCCAATCCCATTGTGGGCTTCACCAGTGCCCTAGTCTCTGTGGAGAATGAGAACTGGAAGCCATTCCCCCTGTCTGCCCAGCACCAGTAGTGCCCACGTGCCACACTGCCCGGCCAAGGCCCCTCTGCTCAGTGCCCCTAGGTCCTCCTGGCCCTGAACCCTCAGCTCTCACCTCCCCCATCTTCCCTGGGGACTCCATCTGAGATGAGGCCTCTTCCTCCTGGAGGCTGAGGCCGAAGAGGGTGGAGCTTGGCCCCAGGGAGGCAGAGCAGGGTCTAAAGGCACCTAGGAGTGCTCTGCGCGTCTCTCACCGCCGCTAGCTCAGCTACTTTCAGCCTTACGCATGTAGAATGACCGCGGCCACTCGCATCAGCATAGCACTTTAAGGTTTACACAGTTCTTTGACACATAGGACCTCATTGACCCTCACATCCACCCCCTTTTGCAGATGAGGAAACAGAAGTGGCCCAAGGTCACAACACTGAGATGCCACTTTCCATTTGGTCTTACTATACATTTTCTTTCGTTCCTTCTTCTCTCCTTTCATTTCCCACAACCCACACAGAGTTTATAAACACCGTTGTCAGAAGAGCTACCGTCTGGGGGTGAGATCTGAGGATCTAGAAATGGGTGTCCACTCTTCCCTCTCATTAGCTAGGATCTACTAGGTGCATTACACTCCACTCTCACTCTTCCCATGGCCACCCTACACAATATTCCATCCATTAAGGCCAGGGCTACTCAAGGCCCTCTAGGTGAGCTGGGCCGGGGGAAGCCTCCTGGCCCTTGGGCCTTTGCTGTAAGAACCTTCCATCCTCTCAGCCAGCTAAAGCAGGGCCACCTCCTCCCACCCCTGCAGCTAGACAGTGTCAGCTCTCATCTCCTCCCCACATTTCTGGAGCTTTTTTTTCTTCCTCATTGACATTTGTGGTCTTCTGTGATTATTTATGCTGCCTCCCAAGGATAGAATTGAAATAAAATGTTTTCAACTTATCTAACCTGGGCACAGCCATCTCATTTAACCTGAAGAGGTTCCTTCTTTTGGTCACCATGGCATCTTGGTGGTCAACTCCCCACGCACAGATATAACTTCACACTCTCATTCATCTCAGCACAATCGACATTTTGAGTCAGATCAGTCTTTGCTGTGGGGGCTGTTCTGTATGTTGTAACATGTTTAACTGTATCCCTGGCCACCACCAATCAGATGCCTTAGCACACACACACCCCCACCCAGATGTGATAACCAAAAATCTTCCCAGATATTGGCTAATGTTCCCAGGGTGTCAGAATCATCCCCTAGTTGAGAGTCACTGTTCTATAGTTATTCAGTAGATGCCTGCTCTGTGTCTAGCCCTGTGTTGGGATCTGGGGAAACCAACATTCTACCTTGGAAAGGTACTTGGCGTTTACAAAGTTCTATTCTATGACTCCACTCCTTTGATCTTCATAGCAGCTGTAATTGGTATGTCCTGCTATTATTCTCATTTTTAAGAAGAGCATTCAGGCCCAGAATGGTGACATGCTCAAGGTCACTGAGCCAGTTAGTGGGGTAGACACACACAAACGTGGATCTTCTGAATCCATAGCCAGAAGAGATTTGTGCTCCCAGCCATGCTCCCAATTCCCAGCCAAGTTCAGGGCTGTTAGAGCCCATTCTGGGAGAGACAGTGGGGACCTGTCAAGAGACCAGGGGTGTGGAACACCCTCACCCCCTCACCAATCCAGGGTTGTCTTGGAGAAGAGTTGTCAGGCTGCAAAGCGGACAAGTACACAGTAGTGTGGTCACCACAGAAAACTCAGAAGAGCCTGAGGAAAGCAGTATAAGTACAGGGCGCTGAGGAAGGAAGGACAAAGGGCTGCAGAGAAGCAGTGGTCAGGGCAGGGGCAGGGATGGCCCAGGCTCAGCTCTGTCTGTCCCCGATTGCCTGAGACCACCTGTTTCTAGCACAAGTGGCACAAACAAGAAGTTTATTAGGGCTTGGATACAGAAACATTTGCTGAACCTGAATTTATAAAAGATGCTCCTGGAGTTTCTGCTCTACATCAACTCAAAAAGCCTGGGTTTAAATTAAATTCTAATTTTGCTGAAGTCTGGCCCCCATCAGCTCCCTCTTCTAGGATGCTGGGGAAGAGGGAGCTGGTTGCCTGACTGAGGCTTCCCCTGCCTGGGCCCTGGGCAACAGGTGATCTGTCTCATCTGTGCCTCTGTCCCACCTAACCCCTGATTCTGAGCTTGACTGGGCAGCTTTTTAGCCATTACTTATTATGGTAAATGGACTAAGGTCAAGATTGAACTTGATCTGTCCCCCTCCACTAGCCCATTTTCCCAACTGCATTTGTTGAATAACCCGTCAATTCCACAATGGTTGTCTGTGCATTCTTCCTAGCCTAGGATAAATTCCGTACCTAGTCCATTGTGCTTACCCCTCTGTCAGATACAGCCTAGCCCAACACTTAATGATGTAGGAAAGTGAGCCCCTCATGGCTTTTTGAACTTGTCCCCACTGCCATACTCCCTTCCAGGTGTCTGTTTCCTTCTTTTCTCCAGGAAGGATACCTTAGACAACTCCAGACCCTTTTCTATGGAGAGGTCCCTAACACCCCTGCCATCAGCAAGGGCTCCCTCCCTTTTCCCACCTCTGACACCTAATTGGATTTTCAATTCAGTTCAACACACACCAAATAGCTGGACCTCTTTAGTACTGGGTGCTGGGAACCAAGAGAAAAAAAGCAAGGCCTGCCTTGAGGGGCCCCAGCCCCTGGTCCATCTCAGGGCATCATAACACACAGCAGGACATGGGGCTCCGGGAAGCTAGAATGAGCTTCATCCTGGGCTGATTTCAACATGGAGTGGGCAGTTGTTTGGGGATTGGCTAACTCCTGGGTTGTCTTCCAGGCAGCCTCCTGAGATCCTAAGATGGGCTTGGGCATTTTTAGACTCTCTCCTGGTGCTGGGCAAACATCCCAGACTGCCAGTGGACCGTGCAGAACGTGGCTGCTGCTTCAGTGTGGGAAATGACTTCATACTGAAAACACCCCCACCACCAGGCCCCCGCCCCCCTGCCTTCCTGCCTGGAAGGGCTGCTGTGACAGAGGGCGCTGCCTGGGCCAGAGGCAGACGCTTACCTTGGCCACAGGAAGCGTGACCAGACCCCTCTCCTCCCCCAGGTTGGCCAGCCTGAGGACTGAAGGGTTGCTGCAGGGGAGGGGAGGAGGCCCCTGTCTGGGCTGTTGGCAGAAGCTCCTTGTTCCCTGTGTGTGTGTTTCCTATTTGGGAACAACCTGCAGCCTGTCTTTCCTCAGAATTTTAATTCAGTAACAAGCACAAATGGGTCAGCCTCCGAGAGAAAAAGTGGCATCTACGGGCTTGGGGCTGAGGGTTCTTGGAAGCTCCTGTCCCGGAGCCCCTCCCTGTACCTGGCTTGTCACACTACCTGGAATCCCACCCCCACCCCCGTTAGCACGCAGTCCCTCGGGTTAAGCATTACCCTTGCCAGAGCTGTCTTCACAGACAAATCCCCCCGGGATTTGTGGGATGCATGTGTGAATCTCGGGTTAACAGATTGAGCAAGGGAACACAGGAACAATGAAAGAGGGTGGGCCTCCAGTGGGAAGAGGAGGTGGGGACACTGAGCAAAGACATCTTGGATTTCAAGGTCACAATGATTATTACAGCCAGATTAAAAGACCAGGAAGAGTTTGCTCAAAACTTGAATCCAGCCAGCAGGTGGCAGATTATGGCCTTCCTATCAAGCCCATTTTTTTCTAAGCTGAGTCCCTTCTGCCACATCCTATCCCACCCTAAAATTAATGAACCAACCTTAGGCACTGGGCCTCATGGTAGAGCAGGCACCACACAGAACATCCAGGAACTGAATACTCCAAGTCTAGGAGAAGGGAAACTCCAGAGGGGGCAGCCATGTGTTCTTACTGCCCTGGAGGCCAGCTGTCTCCAAGGAGTGGCCAGAGGAAGACACACACCTCATCTTCCTCCCTTTGAGGCTACAGACACTGTCCTGAAGAGCTAGAAAGAGGCTTGGTCTGGGCATTCCTGTCACAGCCTGTGACCTTGAACAGTTTCCCCATGAGGACAGTGATAGGGAAGGGCCCTTTCTGCCTAGAAAGTCAGCAATTTGATGAGGCTTGGGCCTGAGAAGGTGGCAGAAGAGCCAGAAAGTAAGGGGCAAGCAGAAAAGGAGGGGTGGAAGGGAGGGGTCCCAGCCAGACTCCTATAGCCTGGAGGGGCACAGCCTAGCCCAGACCTGGAGGTCTCCAGGAAGGTACTGATGGCAGAAAAGGACC